CCAGGAGGACTCCCAAGTTGCGCGCCCTCTCCGAGGGGGCCAAAGTTTCGCCCCCTATAGTCAGCGATGGTGTCAGCTGACTATGCCGAGGCGCTGGCAACCACAGCCACTCGGTCTTGGAAGGGTTGAGCCTGAGTCTGTTCCTCCCCATCCAGACCCGTACGGCCTCCAGGCAACGGGCCATCACGTCAAGGGCATCACACATCTTGAAAGTTACTGAGACTGAGAAACATTCATTTGGAACAAGCATAGAGCATTGATCCAAGGGCCTAAAGTTGCCTACCAAGGTCAGCTACTCAGGTCCAAAAGTCCTTGAGCAGAGCTCTGCTCTTCAAAATCTCTCTTTCCTTTCCTTCCTCTCTTTCCACATGACTAAATAGCAAGAATCACACTTGTATGAGCTGCATAAATATCTGCTTCAGATGCTCTTTACTTTTCACTTTTGAAAGCTAAATGTCTATGTGGGAGGAGCAGGTGGTAACAAGCAAAAGTCTGGCTGAGCGCAGATACAAGTATTGAAAGAGTATATAGATTAGTGCCTGAACACTAGAAGCATGAGCGTCCCTCTCATGATCATCCGGGAAGAGACATAAGTAGATCTGACACAACAAGGCAGTTCTTAAATAGGGCTGTAGTTAAAACCTCCATGAACAAGGGCAGTGTTTTCTCTTTGGCTAGGCAAGCAAGGATGGCTATAGAGGAATAATTCTTCACACAGAAAAATTTAGTTGGTCGCAGTAAATGGAATTAGTCTGATCCAGATATTATATGCTTATGCAATGAAGCTCAGTGTCCTTGGTGTTCACTTGAGAAAATTGCACTTAATTTGTCATTAGAAGATTTCAGGAACCTCAACACAGAGCTGAGTGCTTAAATAGAACTTGGGCAGACCAGATCCAAGCCATCAAGTAGTGTAGCCTGCTCCGAGCTCTGGAGAAGGCAGTGGAGTTCTATGGTAAATCTTTGCTTGGCTTTCCTCTCTTACAGCTTACGTTGGCAACGCTGACATGATCCAACCAGACCTGGCCCCGCTACAGCCAAATCTTGATGATTTCATGGAGATATCTGGTAGGAACCAGTTTATTCTGGGGGAAGCAGAAGAGATCATGGGAGAGATCTAGAATGGGAGCCATTTGATGGTTATGATCTGTGGGGGCGCTTTCAGGGCTTCCATTTTAAAACCCTTTAGTTCTAATAATGTGTCGCGTTTTCTCAATTTGCTGGAAATGGGGGAAAGGAGGGGAAGGAGGAGGAGAGTCCTCAACTCCAATCTCGCTCTTGGTACAGAAATCCAATTTAAAGCATTCTTGACAGATGGCTCTCCAGCCTCCACTTTTAACAGTTCCCCAAATATAACTTGTGTTACATGAATGTGGAACCACGCCAGGGGCTAATCAGAGAGGAAGGAAAAGTTTCTACTCAAGAAAGAGGAAATTTGTGAGGAGGGGGTGCTTGGGGGCTGCAGACCAGGAAGCAGCCAAAGAGCAAATGAAAGACTGAGAAAGAAAAATGTGGGCTGGAGGAGGGTCACTTCACTCCTTTTACCGCTGTGCTTCTGAATTTAGGAAACTCTTAGAATCGAAGAATGGAGGAATGGAAAAACAACCCCCTAGCTCAGTGGTGGCGAACCTATGGCACGGGTACCAGAGGCGGCACTCGGAGCCCTCTCTATGGGCACATGTGCCATTGCCCCAGCCTCGCCTCCCCCCTTGACCCTCTCCTCACCAGCAGCCCCCCTGGAGGAGTCGCCCCTGAGTGTGGCCCACGTGGAGCAGTGCAGCCAAGGACATGGCAGCCAGGCAGTGTAGACAAGACTCTGCCCTCATGCCCCATCGCGCACAGTTGATGCTGCAGGGCACGGGCAGAGGGTGTGGCCACCATGGCGCTGGTGGGCCCTGGAGGCGGTGAGTGGCCCTGCGGGCAGGCAGGGTGGGAAATGGTGTGGGGGCGGAGCGGGGGCACGGCAGGGGGTGGAGCGGGGGCGGAGCCAGCTTTGGGGCACTCGGTCTCTAAAAGGTTTGCCATCACTGCCCTAGCTCATGCTGGTTTTGTGCGAGTTACTTGCCCATGAAATCCTTTCTCAAGCATCCTATTGCAGAAACTCAGGACTGGTTTTGTATAATATGCTGACTAGGTTGAAATAGGGTCAGGTATTTTGGGGTTCAGAAAATTGTGGAAAAACCAGCTGCTATCTTAGCACTTTGTGCTAACCAAGCCATCATGTAATATTGGCTTTAATATATTGTGTGTACTCAACCAGAGCTATGGTGCCAGGAAGGTAGTGTTCTTTCTTGAGGTTGGCAAGCTCTAATTCAGATTTCCCCAACCTGATACCCCCCAATCCACTACAATCCTATAGTATAATTCCCAGCAAGCACATTCTGACAGAGTCATTGGAACTGGACTCCCAATATACCTAGAAAGCACCTGGTTTGGGAGGAGAGATGGATCATTTTTAGAGTGACTGAGAATCGTAAAGATGATGGATTCCTTTGAATGGTGATGCAATTCAAGAGGTAAATTGTGGGTGGGACTGAATTCTCATTAAAGATATTATCCTCAATTAATCGTTTCAGTTTTAATAAATACAGTAGTATGTGCACTTGAGTCAAAGCCCTAAAGAAAAGGCTGCTTCTTTCCTTGTTTTAAGATCACTAGGGTCTGTACTGTCACCAATTTAGAAGAGTTGTTAAAAAAAGTAACATTTAAATGTTAAATTTAACATTTAAATGTTAAACATTTAACATTTAAAATTTTTAACATTTAAAGATTTATTTCTGTTGACTATGTTTCTATCTGGATGGTTTTCAGTGGAAAGGGGACAGCAAAAATAGCCATAAATATGACAATTCTTGAAATGAATAAAATGATTTTAATCCACTGCTGTGGTCTTAGCTGTGTAATCCAGGATATTTGAGACCCAAGTGCAGCTAATATTACTGTACTAATTGTTGAAATCTCTTTTAATTAAGGAGAAATTGGAATCTACCAACTTTTTTGAATGCTATTGCTTTTAATGTCGGTCTTGATGCACAGACATTGATGTTGCTTTTTCTGGTGTGAAGATAAAGTGATGATGGGGACAACTGTGTTGGCTGTATTCCAAAATTAATTTAAAAATATACAAGGAAAATCAATAAATAAGGGCTTGATTTAGGTCTTTTGTTAAGCTCAGCCCTCAGAAATAATAAAAAAAATCAGGGAAATAGATAATTCAATGAAGAGTGGCACTTCAGACATGCTCAAAGGCAGATTATCTCATAGCTGGAATTTTAGGGACTGTAGTTTTCAGTTAATCCTTCTTTCTTTTAGGTAGGTCTAAAGGACTGGCCTCTGAATTGCATTCCTGTCCAGTCTGGAAGCTCTAAAATTCTGGGAATTGAAGTCCACGAGTCATAAAAGAGCCAAGGTTGACTACCCCTGCTCTAAACAGTGGACATTAAGCTAATTATATTCCCAAACTTCCATATCTTGGAAGACTAAATTGAACTTGCATTGTGCTAGGGACTGAAAATGTTTCTAAAAAGTCCCCTTCTTATCTAGATGTTGCAGGAGCCTCTTTGACATTTTTATGGAGGGAGGGAAGTTCAAGGAAAAAGCTGGGTTAGCCCCCTAAAACACTGCTGCAACGCAGAGGAGTGGCAGTAAGGTCACCAACTCTGTCCCCAGGCAGGCTACAGAATCCTCTGCCTGTCAGTCAAAGGGCAGAGGCCCCTGTTGAATGAGGAACCACCACCCCTTTGCTGCTCTGAATGTCTGGAGAGGAGAGGAACCTGAAACATATGGAGAAGTCCCCATGGCAGGACCACGGCAGTCTCTGGGGATGGTGACAGACTGCTGCTGGCCTTCCACTGCAGGTAGGAGATGATGGGGCAGATACGGTGGGAGTTGATTCTTGCTTTTATTTAGTCCCCTCCCTGTTGCCTGGCACAGATAGCCCTTCTCTATAAGCCTAGGGGCTGCGGGAGAGCTGGTGCTAAGGGAAAGAAGGAAGTGCTCTCTGTACTTGTACAGGGAACTCTCTTTCTGTAGAATTGGGCCATCTGATTCTTGATCTGTTCCCCAGAGGTGAGGATCAGTGGTGAAAATATAACTGTGTATCACAAAGTAGCCAGAGACCAGGAAATCAAAGTGGGGAGTTCTTACATCTCTCAGGGTTTTATCGAGTGAATTTGGCCTAGCCCAACCTAGTTCCCTCACTCTTGTGCGGCAAACTACAGCCGCCTCTATTCCTGCTGCTTCGTGGCTACAGATGAAGCACAGTATCTCCTAGACACTTTCTCATTTGGGCCTTCCAACCCTAGGAAGAAGCTTCTTGGGCATTTGGAATTCTTGAATGTATGGAGACAGCTAGGAGAGATAGTTCTCTCTGCTCCAAGGGGGTAAAATGAATAGTTTCACCTTTCTCCTCAAGAAGTCCAAGACCACTTGGTGGGGCAAGGAACCACTGCAACGGAGGACCCTCCCTGGAAATTATGTTAAGGTCTAAATAGACCTTACTACTACTTTGTTTTCCCAACTGATTCTGCTCAAGCCTTTCAAGAAATTGGCAGAACTGCAGAGCAATAAAATAGGGGGGATACAAGCCAACTTACAGCTTATTAACTGATCATCCATGGTCTCCTACTGACTCTCAGATATCAGACAATCTACTTGTTTCCTCTAACATTTAGTAACAGTCTGTGGTATGTTTGAATTTCCACACTTTCAATACTTGCCAAGCCTTTCTATGAACTGGCCATTAAGAGTGAAGTGTAATGAAAGTATGAATTTGTGGGGTTTTTTCATTATGGGTGAAATGAAAAGGTTGTGGTTTTTTTTAACATCTTGGAAAAAGAAACCCAAGGAGATATGGCTGATGCAAGAAAAGAAACTTCATGTGTGATGTATACGGAAACTTACAGCTAGCTTTTGCACTCTTCATCTGTGTCTGGCGTAATCTGCTGCTATACCATGAAATCTCTGTTCTGTAGTTTAGAAGCCAGGGAATAGATTTCGTTAATAGCAGTTCTGGTCTGAGTTTCCCATATTGCATGCGATAATCTTCTTTGCTATAGGGAAAGAGTAGCAAAATTTAGATGGGCCCCAGCCTTGTCTGACTTGGAGTGTGCTTATTGCCACACCATATCTGATTTCACACACTACACTGCATATTTGGTTGAGTTTGTGCATGTTAAGTGATTTTTTTTAAACCATTGTTTATTGAATAAATCACACTTGATTGGATTTACACAACATATACTATATTTTGGTAAGCTTAATATATTATTCATGTATGACATGTTATGGCCGCCAAATAAGTTATGTCATGCTTTACACAATATGTGTTCTGGAAAAGCGGGATATAAATTATAAAAATAAATGAGTAAAGCCAGTGAATGTGAATTGCATTGTTATTTTTCCTTTACTTGATGTACAGTTACGGACTTTAATATATTGATGCAAACATTTAATATTATGTGAACTAGCCAGCATTGGGCAAAGTATCATGATTGATTATGTGCTATCAGGTCATTGTCAGCTCTTAGTGACTAGGTAGATAGATTTTCTCCATAATGATCTGTCCCTAACCTGGTGTTTCAGGTCTTCCAACATTGCACTGTTGTCACTGCAGCTGAGTCCATCTACCTTGCTGCTGGTTGTTCTCTTCTCTTTCCTTCCATCTTTCCCGGTATTAGAACCTTTCCTAGGTCACAGTGGTCTTGGCATAAAGTGTCCAAAGTAGGGTAATTTGAGCCAGATCATTTGTGCCTCAAATGAGAACTCAGGGTTGATTTGTTCAATTATTTTTTTTCTGTCCATGGTATACTCCAACATCAAAGTTCAAAAATGCCAATAATCTTCCTTTCCTGCTTTTTCAAAGTTCAAAAAATAACACAAGTGAGAGAAAAATCTTACCCTGGAGAACTTAGATTCAGTAGGGAGATGAACACTCTATAATTAGTACAGAGAGGGCCAGAATCTGTTTATATTTAGCCTTCTCGCTTAATGCTTGCAAGTGACAGTTGTACACCAAGAAAAGCTACAGTGATGTAATTTACAGAGTTAATGGCTACATTTTTATAACA